GTCTTCGTCTCGTGTGACTACGATGAAAATTGACGTATAAAGTCAACGCGACCGTCAACAAAAGTCTCTCAACGCATGACAGCATTTTTAAGGCCGAGATGTCAGCTGTTCTCCATCTCACTCGCACTCGCACTCGCACTCTCTGTCTGTCTCTTTGCAAACCATACAATTCGTACTGCCATCCATCCATTACAGTCCATACCATGCCATACAGCAGCATCATCATCATCATATGACCCCAGTGTGTGTGTCACGTACAGCATTTAGCATTTATTGTGCCGCTTCATGAGTTTCTTTTTTTCTGTTTTTGCTTTGTGAGACACAAAAAATTCAATTGGTTTTTCTTTTATTTTCTCTGTTTTTTTTTCTCTATTTGGGCAAGACAATATATATATAGAGATGTATATAGCTGTAATATCAAAAGCCAACAACTGTTGTCAGCATAGAAATTATTATTATTATTGTTATTATGATGATGAGACCACAAATGTCTGTGCGCTGCAAAGCAGGCAACAGTTTTTCTTTCTTGTTTTTGGCTTAGCATAAGTTGATTGGAGAGCATAACGGATTTAGTTGACTTAAAGGTGTGGAACTCACCTGACACCTTTGAGCAATGTCAAATTGAATTGCAAATGTTGAATGTCTTTAAAGAATCTATTTGCTATGTCTTAGTCCATTTCCTTTTTTGGCTGCATTATTTTGTTGGAAAATTCCTTTTAATTGCCAGCAAAAGATGTGCAAAATACTTTGCCTTGGCCCGCATATCAAGTTGTTGTTGTTGTTGTTGCTATCGTTCGCTGGAAATCTTATAAATTTCCACACAGAATGCACATTTAGTTGGAAAAACGAAAGAGAACATCGCATATGCAATTCATTTGCCAGCAAGAGAGAGGGAGAGGGGAGTGAGGCAGCGAGTATGAAAGAAATATAAAGCTCTTACTTTATATCTTGATGATTTGTGGTGCTGTTTTTCTCATTGCCAGGAAATTAGAGAATTGGCACACACACACACATACACACACAGACATGCAAACACTTGAGTGTGCGTGTGGAAAGCTAAAAGAAATTAGAAAGCAAACCGGTTGCCCGAGTGCCAGTGTGTTGGCATTTATATGCAAGTTAATTAAAACCAAACTAGTTACGATGCTGCGTTGCCTTTTTGAAGTATTTTTTGCGTTTGTCTGAAGAAAAAGTCATTAAAAGCTGATGGCAAGTGCGCGCATACAGTGCGTATGATTGATAATGAGTTTTGCAGCCAGACGGAGTTCGAGACGTCGTCGTTGGCTGAAGTTGGTGTCGAGTTGAGTTGAGTCGAGTCGAGTCGAGTCGAGTCACTGCCAATACGTTGTCTACCGACTGCTCAGATGGATGTCTTCATCTCTGAGCTCTGGGCGCTGTGGCATGCAATGCTAAGAATTTACAATGCTTGTAACGGAACTTATTATTTCATTGCCCCCTACAGCTGCTCGTTGCCTGTGGCAGGCTGGCTGCTGCTGCTGCTGCTGGCTTGCTGTCTGTCTGTCCGTCCGTGTCTGGCAGTTCACAGCATGCGGCAGTACGCCCGACCGCCCTGAACTGTCGTCTTTAGCGTATTCTGGTCATGTGTTGTGCTGTGTTCTAACCTCCGGTTCACACTCCCATGGAGCCACACATGACAGTGTCATTGGTGTGTGTGCTCTGTCTGTGAAGGAATCAAATCTTGGCTTGTATATATATATATACATATATATAGTTCTCCCTCTACCTTTTTATTGCACAGTTGTCATACGTGCACCGCAATTTGTTTGGCAACATTGAAAGCTGAAAGCTGAAAGCTTGGCATTCAAGCATTCAGTAGTTAGTTATGTGAGTTCAAATGTGAAATATGCATGCAATTGGTTTAGTTGAACATTTCTAATTTTTGGTGTGTTGCTGTTGTGTTTGCCATTCGCAATTCCATCTGATGAATTCGTGAAACTCTTGCGACACACTGCCAAAAAGTTTTGCGTACTTTTTGCCTTCGTTTGATAGATGAAATTCCTTCGTATATATGCTGCTGAATATATTATGTACAGCTGGTTTTTAGGGCGAGGGAGCTGGATGGACGTAGTAGGTGAAACATGAAAACTTAATGCATTAGTCGGACACAACTGTCGAAAGTTTATTGTAAGGCTCTGCAGCCATGTCCAAAAAGTCCATGCTTAAAGTTGAGGGAAATAGATTCGTATGCTAAGATAACTTGGCCATGGCTGTGAGTTTTGGGATGGATGCGCACAAAGGTTAGCTCGGACAGCAGCAGCAGCAGCGTGCGGCTGATTACAAAGGTTCTGCATTAGTTTGCATTTGTAGAACAAACAAAAGTTTTTCTAGAAAACAACAGAATTGTCAATAGTAAAGATGCTAAGCTAAAAGTGGAAATGAATTTAGTTTTCAAATTAATTAATAATTTCCGCCTTAAAGATTAAATTTGTTTGTATTTATTTAGCCATAAATTGTGATTTAAAATTAAGTATCGGTCAGGTTTTAATAGAATTTATATTATATTATATTTATACTATATTTTAGTAGTACTAAATGTGTTAAGAGAATTCATAGAATTTATATATATAAATTTAGTAGTCCTCTATCCATTAAAATAAAAATATATATCACTTCCCATGAATTTTCATTGGTACAAAAAATCATACTAACTATTGATACCTTTTCATTTAAATTATATTTTTATTCATTATATTTTTACCATTTTCATTCACTGTTTCGATGAACGCTCGATTTTCAATTCGTTTCCCAAAAATCATCAAACAGAAAATGAATTCAGTGATTTTACGAAATTCTCTTCATTGCATTCGATTCTAAACAAAATTGGGGAAATCACTCTATTTTTCAACGGAAATAGTACAATTTTATTTGATTTATATTTTTTCTAGTGCAGCTTCTATTTTTATGAGCTATACCATATACATATACATATACAGAGGAAAAAATTATTATGCCAGTAAACTCATGAAGTTCAGGTTTTTTTTTTTTGTTGAAATGAAGCCCGAAATAATAAGTTTAAGTTCCAAAAAAAATGGGAAAAAAAGATGTAAATGTTATTTCATATGCAATATAATTTATTTTAATTTATAAAAAATAAATATATATACCATTAAAACTATACCATTATTAATTAGATTAAACCATAGTTAATTGTTTTATTCAATGAGGTTGGGTTATAAAAATATAGAAACATGTGAAAAAGAAGTATACATTTTATATACAATTTATACAAGTAAACAATTTTAGTCTATCAAATTTTAGTAATATATTGCGGTATGTTCTAACTGTAAAATATAGTTAAACATATACATGTACATATGTATTTTCTATAAATGCTTGTATATGTCTCTTCTCTCCTTGATTCTGTATCCACAGCAACAAAACTTTATTTCACTTTGGCATACAATTCCATAGCCAAAAAATATTCATAGCAACATTTCGTAAAATAAACTCTGCAATAAGTTTTCAACATAAACTTTAGTTGTTAAAAATCAACTTTAAATATTTGCAAAGCAGTCTGGTCTGGTGCCTTTTATATTTATAACAGTCGGCGGGCGGTATTTTTTCCTCTTTTATTTATTTATTTTTTTTTTTGTTTTTTGAAGGCGACTGCTACAAGCTGTTGCAGTAGTTGGATTGTCACACCTGGACAGCACAATAGATTTGCATATTTACAAACAAAACATGGAAAATATGCATGCAAATAATTGGGCGTGGCAGCCAAGGGGGCCGACTGGAGCATTGGTGGAGTGGCTATCAGTGACGCTCTTGTTGCTGCTGCTGTTGTTGTTGTTGTTGTGCCGAGTATCATGTCAATGTAAAGTGCACGCGGGCAACCAAATTATGCGCATTTATTTAGTCGTTAATGCTTTTTACATTTTGCGAGCGACCCGCATAAGACAAAGTCAGGCAACACATAGACAGATAGAGAGAGAGAGAGGGAGGGAGAGAGCTGGAGTTAGGTAGATGGACGGACGCTGTGCTATCTCTAGGCAGAGTTGCCGTTACATGGGGAATTAGTGCGCATAATTTCATAAACAGCAACAGCAACAACAAGAACAACAACTGGTGGAACAGTTGTTGGCAGCCATCGCGTTGGCCTGTGCAAATATTTTGGAGCCCTGTACACTCCGTCTGTTTCTCCTTGGGGAAATGTTGTTTGCTGCCGCTGCCGCTGCTGCTGCTGCTGGCAAAAACCATTCAGAATCACATGCGAAGTCTGCATGTAAAGCTATGCTGGGAATTTGCTCTGCTCTCTTGCACGAAAAAGTAAGCGAATGAATAAAAAAATATTTAAAAAATGAAAAGAGAAGCAGAAGCAGCAGCAGCAGCAGAAGCAGCGCTGTGTATGCTGTATATCTGTACTAAATTGCACATGAAGTGATTTCAAGCGTAAGAAATGCCTTGGGTTGGGTGAGAGGTGCTGAGTCTGGGGGCGCAGCCATCGATAATATATATACAGCTGCGAAAAATAAAATAGCACCACTTGCATATTCAGAGTTTGA